TATCTCTTGGGGATGGGGATTTAGCTCGGCAGGATAAATGCCTGCCTTGCAAGTGTGCACTCCTGAGTTCGATCCCTGGTACAGATTAAAAACAAAAATAAAAATAAATAAATAAATAAATAGTATCTCTTAGCCAGGCATGGTAGCGCATGCCTGTAATAACAGCACTTAGGAGGCTGAGGCAGGAGGATCGTTGTGACTTGGAGACCAGTCTGAGATATGTATGAAGTGAGCCCAAGGCCAGCCTCAATTGCATAGTGACACCTGTGTCAAAAAGACAAAAAATTAATTACTCTTGTTTGATCAGTGGAACCACTGTGAAAATTAGAGTGACGACACCTCAAAAAATTAAAACTGTAAGTTCCACTTGATCCAGTATTCATCTTCCCAAAAAAATTAAAAGCGTTGGGGCTGGGGATTTAGCTCAGTGGCATAAGCGCCTGCCTTGCAAGCAGGCAGTTGTAAGTTCGATCCCCGGTACCGATAAAAAGAAAAAAGACAAAAAAAATAAAATAAAATAAAAGCGTCATACCACAGAGATATATGCACACCTGTTTATAGAGGCACACTTTGTGATAGCTAAATCTAGGAAACAGCTCAAATGTCCATCAACAAATGAATGGATAAAGATGTGGTTTTTTTAATACAATAATGTACCACTCAGCCATAAAAAAGAAAAAACGAGACATTTCTAGGTAAATGGATGCACCTTGAGACTATACTCTTAACTGAAATAAATCAGACACACATGTTCAAATATCACATGGTTTCTCTGGTGTGAGAAATGGCAAGTGTAAATGTATAGTAGATATTGTAAAATAGGAAGAAAATATTCAGATGAGAAGAGGAACTAGGGAAAAGAAAAAAACAAAAAATGGAAACAAAGCTTTTGTAAATGAGTAGAAGATGGGTTGAAGGGAGGGGAGGGGAATGGGGAAATAAAGAACTAAACTGTATCACTTCCAGGTACAAATTCCCTATGGTGAATGTGATTACTATGTATATCTAAAGTATACCCATTAAATTATTTTTTGAAGTTTTTTTTTCTAAGTTTTTACTAAAAACTATGACTCTTCACTTGAGCTTACAAATGCCCAATAGGCAACTGAGAGTAGAACAAAACCATCTTCACTTTGTGAAGCTCTGGAACAAATCCTCCTCAGCTCTGCATACTGAAATACAGTATTAGCACTTACAGTGTGTTTATCTGAAAATTACCAAAAGAAGGCTTTTTGGCCCTAAATTTACCTTGCTTAGCTCATCCTCCAACACTGAGAAAACCTACTCCTGAAGCTCCATTTGCCTTTAAACCTGTGGTCACCTTGGACTCCAGCAGAGCCATACACAACTGACTCTGCCCCCCAGTTATTAAGTCTTCTGGGAACCAAATATAACACTCAATCCTCAGTCCTTGAAGATTTCTCATGAGAACTAATTTGCCGCTCAAACCAGATGGGTCTCTTTAACTCTTCAAAAGCAAGACAAAGTGGGGTGTGGTGCTGCACACCTGTAACCCCAGCAATTGGGAATTTGTGGCAGGAGGATTCCCAGGAGTTTGAGGCGAGCCTGAATACATAGCAACTGAGGCCAGACCACATAGGAAGACTGTCTCAAAAAAAGAAAAAGGAGAAACAAAAACGAGTGAGAACACAATGAACGAAATTCCACAGTGCTATTCTTCCATTAAAGCTTTTGACTGTAAATTCATATTGTTTTAGTCTTCATCTCCATTATCTCTCCAGCCACTGACACACACACACAGCCACAGCAGCACACACCAATCCAAACATAGTGTGTGTTCCTCCTTTGTAGAACACAGGCCCTGCAGGACATCTACTTCAAGCTTCTCAGCACGGCCCTCTGGGCTGCATCCCACCCACTTCTCTCCCTGCCCACCACTCCTTGTCCTTACTTCAAGACACACCTGAGAACTGCCTTCTTTACAGATTCCAGAGTTTTCTTTACAAATTCCTAGCCCTCATTTCTTCTGGGTCCATGTGTGATACAGTGTGTAGTCTATATATGATTTACAGGTTTTGTTTTGGACATAGGATCTCACTATGTCATGCAGGTTGGCCTTGAACTGTGTAGCCAAGACTGGCCTCAAACTCATGGGTATCCTCCTGCTTCAGTCACCCATGTCCTGGGATTATAGGTTTGCATTATCACATCCAGTTGATTTGCAGATTGTTGTTTTATTGAGGCAGGGTCTCAATATGTGATGCAGGCTGGCCTTGACTGGCTTATATAGCCCACCTGGGCCACAAACTCATAGGATGCTCCTGCCTCAGCCTCCTGGGTGCTGGGATTACAAGTGTACACCACTCCACCTGGCTTTTCTGCAGATTTTTGTATAGCACACTATCTGCCTCCTTTTCCTTTTGCTTCTTGTTATACTGAGAATTGAACACAGGCTTTCCCATAGAGTTACACTCATACTTCTTTAGCCCTTTTTAAATTTTTGAAACTTTTACTATTTTTTTGAGATACAATCTCACTACTTAGCTAAGGCGGGCCTCAAACTTGATTCTCCAGCCATGGCTTCCTAAATACCGACTTTACAGGTACACACCACACCTGTTCTGTAGATTTTTTTAACTGAGATGAGGTCTAGCTAATGTCCTAAATTACCCAAGTTGGGCTTGAACATGCCATCTTCCTGCTTCAACCTCCCAAGAATCTAGGATTACAGGTGTGAGACACCAGGCCTGGTTCTCCTTTTAGAACTTCTAGAACCTGTAATCCCAACACTCGGGAGGCTGAGGCAGGACTGCTGTGTGCTGGAGGCCACCCCAGGTTACCTAGTGAGTTCATGGCCAGCCTGAGCTATAAAGTGACAGCTGTCTCAAAATGAAATAAAATTTCCATGCCTTATATAGGACTGAATCATGGTAAAATAATGGCACATTACCATGCAGGAAGCCCTGGGTTTCATCCCACATGAAGAGTCTGACAGCCCAGAGAGGTGGCACACGCCTGTCATTCCAGCTTCAGAGGAGGCTGAGGCAGAAAAAGGCAAGTTGGAGCCCAGCCTAAGAAACTTAATGATTGAGATCCTGTCTCAATCAATAACTGAGGATATAGCTTAATGAACAGGCCCTGGGCTCAATCCCCACTACCGCCAAATGGAAAAAAATCTGGTAAATACAGGGGTTTCTACCCCAGCCTTTTCTCTTCTTAGCCAAGAGCTCTCCAGCAGGACAAACACTATGCCCTTCGGAGTCTAGAGCAGCACTGCCCAGAGCAGCCTGCCAGTCACCCTACCTCCCTTCAAGGTTAACAGGTGCCAGCTCAAAAGGGAGGCGTCACAAAGCAGGAGAGAACGAACACCACCGACTTATTTATGTGGCCTTGGCACTGAGCTAGAGTGCGAGCCCTTTATTTAGGGAGAATGCTGCTAAACTGCCCAGGCTGCTCCAGTTTACAATCCTGTGCCACTTCCACAAAATGCCTAACAAAAGCAATCAACAGAGCAGACGAGCTGGGAGTTGCGTGATAGGCTGCAACAGAGGCACCCAAGCTTAAGCTGTGGAACCCACAGTGCAGGCTGCAGGTTTGGAGACTTCTGCCCTAGAAGCCTTCTCAGTACCAGGCAGGAAGAGGTGTGAAGGGGTTACAGGCAGATCATTCAAAGGAACAGATCGGGGACCCTGAAGGCTCAGAGTTGTCAGAGATGGGAAGACCAGTTTTACTCAGGGGTGGAACTGGAATCTAGGAACCTACAGAAATTCTTTACTGAAGAAAGGAATGGCTCACCCACAGATAGAGATAATAAAGGCCCATATCACCAGGAAAGGGACTTTTTTTTGAAACATGAGCAGTCTAAGATGTTTTGCCTAAACAATTTTTGAATTCTTGAATCTGTTTCTTGCTCCCTCTCATGGTCAGGTTTTTGCTCTCCACCTTATTAACTAAAGTATCCTTACAGGGTTTGGGGTGAGGGTCATGGGAGGAAGAGACACACACCCAGGAACGCCTTGGGTAATGATATGTATCAAGTTGCAGTCTAGTTAAAAGCACCATTTTTAAATGAGACTTTCCTTATCTCCTTCCTATTCCTTCCATCCTACCTCAGAAGTAGAGGGGGTAAGGGGCCAGGGACTTCTTTGTGGGTAAGAAAAGTGCTCCGAAGTTAGAGTGGGGATGACTACCCAAGTCCGTGATTACACCCAACATCGTTGAATGCCACACTTTGTTTTTAATTCATTTATCTTTGCAGTAGTGGGGACTAAACCCAGAGCCTTCACATGGATCCACATCCCCAAGCCTTTTTAAAAGGCTAAAACCACTAAGGTGCCCAAGTTGGGCTTTAAATTTGTGATCCTGCAATTACAGGCTTGTGCTACCAGGTCTGGCTAGAACTATACAATCAAAAAGGGTGAGTTTCTGGGGTGTGGTAGTGGTGTACACCTGTAACCCCACTGCTCAAGCTGAGGCAGAAGGATCTCAAGTTTGAGGCCAGCCTGTGCAATTTAGCAACACCCTGTCTAAAAAATTTATATACATAGTTCAGTGCTCCCTAGGTTCAACCCCTAGATAGACAGATAGTATGTTCACTTCACTTTTTAAAAATGTTACCTAAATTGTTGCTTTACTTTTAAAAACTGAAGTTAAGTAGATGTTCAAATTAGCCAGTACCTCGGTGTCAGGACTGCGGCCTTTTCTCCTTACAGCAGGATTCCTTCAACTGTGGCCCACAAACCAGGCATACACTTCCAGCATGCTGGGAGGCTGAGGTGGAAGGACTGCAGGTCACTTTAGAGATCACCCAGCCAGGGCAACTTAGGTGCATTAAACTATATGCCAACCTCTTTTATCGTCTTTTGAAAGTCTCCCTAAGTAGCTAAGTTGCCCAAGCTAGGCTCAAACTTGTGATCCTCCTGCCTCAGCTTGCCAGAATACCAGACTTACACGTTATGCAGCATGGTGCAGGCTTGTCTTTTTGAAACCCTTTAAGTGTGTGATACCCTCTGAACATGCCAAGGCAAGGTAAGACCAACTCCTGTGTTCTGCCGGCTTTATTTTTTTGGTACTGGGGATTGAACTCGAAGCCTTGCACTTAGCAGACAGGCACTTGAGCTGCTGAGCTAATCCCCTCCATCCAGGCTTTAGTACTTGGTTTACAGATTTTTATGCTCTTTAGTGCACTTTATACAGTTCAGTGATGGTCTCTGAAGAGCCAGCATTCTCCAGGAGAGTCACACAGACACAGGAGCACCCTAGGAGTCCTCCCTCAACTTACCTTAACCCCAACCCAAGAAGCTGGTTGAAAGGGAAAAGATTGCTGTGCCCTGCACACTTTTTTTTTTTTTTAAGGGGAATGCATACTGGGAATCAAACTTAGGCCCTCACACTTGCCAGGCAGGCACTGGGCCACTGAGCTAAATCCCTGGTCCCAAAATTGCACAGGAAAAAACAAAAAAAAAATTTATTTTTGTGGTATCAGAAATTGAACTCAGAACCTCATACTTGCCAGGCAGGCGCTGTGCTCCTGATCCAAATCCTGCCCCCCCGCCCCGTACTCTTAAGGCCATTTGGTACTGTTTGGCTTCCCCTTAGGTGTCCAAATCCAACTTCCCTCTCCTATTCAGCAAATGCCAGTCTCTCTTTGGTGCTTAGCCTGCTGATGGCGGAGGAAAGGAGGCAGCCAGATTAGATCCATTAACCGTGTGGTTAATGCTAACATACATCCTTTCCACAAACAGTGAGGAGATTTCTCTTTCAAAACAGGCCCGTGAGGGCTGGGGATTTAGCTCAGTGGTGTAAGCGCCTGCTGGCAAGCACAAATTCAACCCCCATAACAAAAAACAAAACAAAAAACAGGTATGAAAGGCTGGGCATGGTGGTGCACACCTGTGATCTTAGCATTCAGGAGGCCAAGAGACAGGAGGATCACTGCAAATTCAAGACCAGACTTAACTACATAGTGAAACCTTGTCTCAAAAAAAAGGTCTAGGCATGATTTTTCTTTTTTCTCTCCAGTACTGGGGATCAAACCCAGAGCAGCTGCACTGAGCTATGGCCCCAACTTTTTATTTTGAAACCTGTCTCAATAAATCCCTTTGTCTCAAATTTGTGATCCCCCTGCCTCAGCCTTCCAGAGTGCTGGCTGAACAAAGTCAGTGTCAATGGATGCTTGAAGCATCATGGTATTTTACTGCTCTGTGCAGCCTCATTTTTTAGTACAGATTAACTCCTGGGTGTTCAATAAACCCAGCTAGCAGCACTCGAAAGGTAGCTCTCTGGCCAGACACACAGGGAAGAGTACTAGAGAGATCACTGGGGGAGATGAGCCTGTGTTTCCCTTCCTGTGAGCCAGGGTAGCAAAGCAAGGTGAAGGCTCCTCTGCTCTGGAAGGAAAGGGAAGGGAAGATGCAGAGCTCTTCCTGCCCTTGGCCAATCCCCAAACCTGGCTGGACCTGGATCCTAAAGGTTTCTTAAAAAAATTTTTTTTGTCTTTTTGACACAGGGTCTCACTATGCAGTTCAAGCTGGCCTTGTACTCACTTTGTAGCCCAGCTGGTCTCAAATTCTTAAGGACCCTTCTGCCTCAGCCTCCCAAGTGCTGGGATTACAAGCATGCAACATCAGGCCTAGCAAGGTTTCCTAACTTTTCCCAATGATTTGCTTGATGTCTTCCACCCTGCCCACCAACAGGTAGCAGCAACTTCTCCCTGCAAAGGCAGCAGTTTCCAGCCTCCAGGGCAGAGGGTTAAGGAGGAGGCACAGAGGACTCCCACCTTTGGTTCCCTTTTCCATGATTACCCACTAAAGTCCAGTAAACAAACTACTTGGTCAAAGTGATAGGAAATGTGCCCCTGTCCATCCTGGCTCTCAGGCCTTGTGGGCAAGGAGGAACGTGGGCACAGGTGTGCAGAGCAGTAGATACTCGCAGGCTGGTCCTTGCTGGCATGATGCATTCAGAGACCCTTGTTGAAATAGACATAAGGTGCATGTTTTCCGTCCTTGGCCCCGACAACGTCTTGAAGATCTGGTTCCAGATAAGAAACTGGCAAGGCACTGAACAGAGGACAGAAAGGGGTTCTGAGTGTGCCACTCCGAGTACGCAAGTTACCCCAGAAAAAGTCACTCCAAGTGTCACCTCTGAGGAGCCCTTCCTGATCCTCCTGCTGGAACTGTGTACAGCTTTCCCCTCTACCCAGCCTGCTTCACTGTTCCTGTGCTCGAGTCTTCGGTTAAGCTTCTGTTGTCTCCACGAGACACAGACGTCTAATAGACGATCACAGTGCCAAAGCGGGCAACAGCACCTCTTGGCAGATGTCCAAACCACACCCATTCCTAGAGCCAGCCAGTTCCCAGGGCAGCCCGAGGTCCCTCATCCCTCCTCTGCTGTCCATTCACCCTACCCACTCTTCTGGGACACGAGGGCAATGGACACATCTAGGTCATCATCCTCTGAGAAACAAGAGCCAAATAAGCCCCTCACTTAATTTTAAAGACCAGGAGCAGCCAGGGAGACCTGCCTCCCAATCCAGCCAGCAGGACAGTCTCTTCACATCCCCGGCCACCTCCAGGCAGCAGGGCTCCCCAACAGGAGGGACTCACTCCTCTCCCTAACTTCTCTGCCTCTCAGCAATCCAGCTGGTTTGCTATTTACCAGGCATGAAGGGCCCCTGAGTGCCGCCCTGACTGTCCCACCTGCTGTGGAGGATTGGGGATGGAGTGGCAGTGGGGTCAATAAAAGAAAGCAGGTAACAAAAGGCAATACCACATCTGTGGAAAGAGCCCACATGCCACTGGTACCATGAAGAGGAGGCTATGAGAAAGGAAAAAAACAACATCAGTTAGGGACCTGTCCCTTCTGCCCTACCCACCACCGTCCAGAGCCCCAGGATAAAAGAGGAGATGCCACACTGGGCTGCCTTCCCAGCCAGCCCTCCACCTCCCATCCACCCTTTTCCACTGAGGACCAGAAAACCCACACTAGCATGGGGGCACAATCAGCATCCCTCCAACCCCCTCCCCCACAGCACGCCCACATTCAAGCAGAGGAAGACAATGATGCAACTAGGGAGCTTGAGGAGTGGGTGCCGCTCCTCACCATGCCACTGCACCTCAGCTGTGTAAGGGGGAGGCGTGACTGTCTAAGCCCAGGCCCTGCACTCAGAGCCCTAGCTTCCTATGGTCCCTGGCAGCCTCCTATAGATGCTGATGTGGCTGGTGTTCTTTCTGTATCGGCTGGGTGCTGGGCAGCCCAGGTTGAGCTCCGCCTTGCCTTGCCTCATGAGATCGGGGGAAGATACTGTGAGGCTCCTCAGCTCTTGTACACACTCCAGTCTGGTGCCTCAAGGGGTATAGGCGAGTGCTCCAGATAGACCACAGGTATCCTGAGCGTGGCCACTTTGAAAGCCAAGTGAAGGCACACATGACTCTGACATGGGTAACACCAGAAGGTGGACTATGGGGGCCCAAGACAACCCAGGCCACCCAAGCCCTGTACTCACAAGCACCCGGACAGCGTAACCTGCAACGGCACGTGCAGCAGCTTGGCTTTCTGCACAGACAAGTAAGAGACCCATGGGGCACTAGGATCCCTAAGGCGCACCCACACCTGCCCCGCCAAGGCCCAGTTAACCTGAAGCAGCCAGAGGCTGGAGCCCTGCCCTTGAAGCAGGAGGCCGCCACTGGGGTTTTACTTTGGTGAGATGAGGAGGAGGAGGTGAGAGCAGCAGGGGCGGGGCAGGAGGACGGAAACAGGAACCAACCCTGCTGACCTTCATGAAGTGCAGTTTCTCTAGCCTTTCCATGATGACTGGTAGCAAGACTGGAAGAGACCAGGGGAGGTCCTGAGGGGAGGCCCGGGACTCCCAGGAAGCCTTCTGGCTGTCAGAGAAGGGCTGGGGGTTTTGCTCTCCTTCCCCAGCTGCTCCAGAAAACCCTCAGCATTGGAAATAGAAAATGCATAGGCAAAGCCACCCCCAACCCCTAGGAAACATGTCTCAGACCTCTAAAGGGACACACCTGTGCCACTAGATCCAAAGCCACCTCCTCAACACTAAAACTATCTGAATGGGGCTGGGGGTTTAGCTCAGCGGCATAAGCGCCTGCCTTGAAAGCAGGCAGTCGCGAGTTCGATCCCCGGTACCGATAAAAAGGAAAAAGACCAAAAAAATAAATAAATAAATAAAACTATCTGAAGGCTCACACAAACAGAATCTGTATTTTGCACTGCAATAAGCAAAATTATTCTCTCTACTACTATCTACCTCGTGCAGTATTCCTGGTCAGGGACTAAGGCTTAATGACCATTAGTTGAAGGGAAGTAACTTTTCTCCCTCCAAATGCGATGATGGGAGCCAGTATAGTTTTCCTGAGCTTGCAGCCTTTGTGCAATCTAGTCGAAGAAGCCTGGCTCAGGAGGCTGGGACCCTACCCCCCACCCACATGCTCCCCGACCCCCAGGATGGGGGCTTCCCCATCTTACTCATGCCAGGAGCTGCCATGGTGATCCGGGAAATAACCACTTGGGCAATGCCTATGGCTGCAGCTCTCTGAGGGCAGAAAAGAAAAGCAGTTGGAAATATCGTATCGAGGTTTAGTAAATGCGCAGTACTGGAAGGCTGGACTGAGGTCACAGCCAAGCTTGAGTTACCTTCAGAACAAGAAATGAGGGAAAAAAGGAAGCTGAAGAAGCAGGGTGTGGCCGTGAACACCAGTAAGCCCAGCTGAGGCAAAGAGGGTCAGACTTTCAAGCCCAGCCTGGGCAACCTTGTGACTTAGTGAGACAATGTCTCAAAATACAAATTAAAAACTGCACTGGAGTGGTAGCTCAGTACTCAGGCTCTGGGTACAATGCCTAGCACCTCACAATAAATAAACAAAAACAGTGAAAAAGTAGTAAAAGGGTCTGGGGACACAGTTTAGGACAAAGGCCTGAGTTTAGTCTCCAGTAGTGAAAAAGAGAAATGTAGGGGAATTGACAGGGAGTGAGGGTGGGGTCAGGGAGAAGCCTCCTTAGAGCTTTCACGGTACCTACTCCAATCACTAAGCAGGAGACAGAGTCCGAGAAGGAATTCTCTCCTACTGAGAGGACTCTACTCACCTGGGAATGGCCAACCTCATTGTGGTTCTTGTCCTGCACCGAGATGCCCTGGATGAGTTCCCTAAACAGAAACATGAGTGGTTGGGTTTGGGAAGGGGGTGATGGCAGCCACCCAGGCCATGTGACATCCCGGGGAACATGGCCAGGGCCACAGTCTGAGAAGCCCCCCTATACCTGGCCCTCTAACCTCCCTTCTTCCTTCCATAAGTGGCATCTCGGAAGTGAACTGGGACGCAGGCTATGGGAGCTGGCCCTGGGCCCGCATTGCCTCAGGAGATTCCTGATACTTGCATGTGACGCCAAGCAGTTCTTAACCTTCCTAAAGCCTCAGTTCTCCTCAGCTGCAGACTGGAGATAATCCTGGCACCCACTTCAGAGAACATGGTAAGGATGGCATGAGACAATCCCAGACAGGTGCTTAGTTCAGCCCCTGGCAGTAGGACCTTGCCCCAGACAGGAGCTACTCTGGCTGTTCTCAGGCTGCCTCCTGATGAACTAAGACCATAGCTGGTGGTCTCAACTGTCTGCTGGAAAGAGCTGGGCAGAGGAAGGAGCAGTGTGCAGACCTCTTACCCCTAATGTTCTTTCTGTAGGTGCTGCTCAGTCCTAGTAGCCTCTAGGAAATACGGATTGTGGATACGATAACCATGACAATGGTACTGACGCTAACACTTGTGCAGCATTCATTATGTCCAGGTGCAGCCTGGGAGCTCTACACACACTACGTCATCAACACCTCAGGCAGAAGTTTTGCACCATAGGCAAGAAAGCAGCCTAGGCTGGGGTCAACTCAGTGGTATAGTGCTGGCCTAGCATGCAGGAGGCCATGGGCTCCACTCCCAGCAAGGCGGAAAAACGTGAACAAATGAAACAAAATGGTGAGAGTCCCTCCTTCACTTTTGCTGCTGAAAAGAACAGAGCTAGGTGCTTGAAGACATCTAGTCACTCCCGGGCTTCTTTCAAAGCTTCTTAGTTCTGCTCTACCAAAATTCATTTAGAATGCCATTCCGGGCCTTTGAGAGCAGGCAGGGGTCACAACCCTAACATAGGTGAACTAAAGCTATCTACCTGGGTGTGGTGGCACACGCCTGTAATCCCTTCACCTAGGAGACTGAGGCAAGAGGATCACTGTGAGCTCCAGAACAGCCTGGACTACACGGCCAGTTAAAAGGCAGCCGGAACTATACAACAAGGCTGTCTCAAACAACAATAAAGACAGGAAGTTAGGGTAAAAGCCCACGGGAACACACTCCCTATCCTCTTACTGCACAGGAAAGTGTGCCTACAGCATCTGAATGTAGACCCACCTTGTCACCTACACTCCCAGGCATCTTGCAGGTGTGACTGGCCCTCAGGGACCCTTCTGAGGCTCAGCCCACAGGGCCTTGTCCACGGATGGGGAACCTCCCTTCCCCAGCTATGCGGCAGTTGGGGAGAGAAGGGCAGGATTTACTCACTGCTGCCGCATCATTGGGATATTGACACAGTTTGCAGCAGCCACAGCAGCAAAGGGTACCCAGCGACACACCAAGGGTGGAGCTCTCTGTTGGGGACAGGGAGAATGGGCATGTTCAGATGGGAGTGGAGGGGGTTTCAGAACTGTCAATCAGGAAGGAAATCAGACCTCACTACTGCCACACATCCACTCAGTCTGAGGACCCGAAACTCCAGCAAAAACCCAAAAGGAAAAACCTGGGGACAGCCTTGCTGTTTTCCTTGGGACTCTGCTGCCCCCCAGTGGCCGCCACACCCGCCGCTGCCCCAGACCACACCTTTGTCCACATGTTCATGCCCACAGCAGTGGCCACTGCGGTGGTGGTGGCTGTGAGGTAGGAGAAGGCCATCTGCCTGGGGAGGAGAGGGGGTGAAGGCTGAGGTGCTGGGGAAAAGACTGGCACTCTGTCCCCAGTCTTATCCTGGGCTCTCAGCCCTCACCCACAGTAGTAGCCAGCCGCCCTGACCTTTTCAGTACTTTAAACACACCCATGCTTCTCCAGCAGCCAAACTGTGCACACTGATGCCCTCCATGCCTCATGCATGGCCCTCTGGGCTCTGGCATGACAAACTCGTGGCCCTCAGAACTCCTCTGAAACATCACCTCTACACAAAGGCCTTCCTGCCGGGTCTGCCTGCACTCACTCCTGCTTACAGCTGTCCTGGCACCTGCTCGTGTCCTTAGTGGCACCATCCTACTCTGAGATTATATGCTTAACTCCCAAAAAGACCTTCAGCACCTCCAGGGATGCAAGGCCTTCTCATCAAGGCACTGCCAGGTCCCAGGATGCCACTGGCATGCAATGCACACCTACGAGAGACGGGCTGAGAGAAGGCACAAACACAATTCGAATTGGTCTGGGAAGAAGATACTCCCTAGCAGGCAGCAAAAATACTTCCAAGCTCTGGAAAAGGGTGACTGGCCCACCTGCTCAGTGTGGCCCCACTAGGAAGGCATAACAGCTGGGGACCAGGCCTCTTACCTGACCGACATGGGGGAAGCTGCGTTCCTGTTGGTGTAGTTGACCAAGGCGTTGAAAGACTGGTTCACCCACTGCCAGAAGATCACTGCTGGCATGGTCCTGCCAAGAATGGAGGTCAGGAGAGACAGAGGATAGGATGGAAGCCGTGGGGTTCACCACTCACCACGTACCTGCACTGCCCTGGGTGGCACCCACTCTGCTCTCTGCACCTGGCTTTCAGGCCATGCCCTCCACCCAGAACACACATTGTCTCTTTCCTGCTGCTCTGCTGATGCCACTTCTGCCTCAGAACCTCCCTGAGCCTTCCCTGCCCCCCGGAGACACTCGGCCTCTCCATGAGCTCTGCTCTCCTACTGCAGACCCTTCCTCCAACTGACCACTTACTTCTTTTTTTTTTTTTTTCTTTTTTCTTTTTTTTTCTGGTACTGGGGATCAAACTCACGACCGTCTGCTTACAAGGCAGGTGCTTATGCTGCTGAGCTAAATTCCCAGCCCCACTTCTTGTCTTCTCAACAAAGCTCACTGGCTCTACAGTGCAAGCTCCAGCACCTGGCCCCAGGCCAGAGTGGGGTGAAGGAATCACATCCAGACCACACAGAAAGTTTATTTCCTCCCAACTACTCAAGGAAGTCTTTCTTTTTTTAAACTTAGATATTACACATTACAGTATAAAATTAATAGCATTCATCGTGGTCTTGTTTTATTTTTGTTTTTTGAGACAAGGTCTTGCTATGCAGGTCAGGCTGGCCTTGAACCCACTATGTAGCCCAGGTTGGCCGTGACTTGCTGTGATTCTCCTGCCTCTTGAGTGCTAGGATTACAGGCATGCACCACCACACCTGGCTTCACTGTGAAATAAGAAGTACTTATTTTTTTGAGACTGGGTCTCACTGTCTAGCTCAAATTAGCCTTGAACTCAAGATCCTCCGGCTTATCCTCCCAAGTGCTGGGATTACTGGCATGTACTACAAGCCTAACTGGAACAATTAATTAATTAATTAATTTATTTATTTATTTATTTAGGTGGGGTCGGGGGATTGAGACCAAGTCTCACTGTGTAACTCAGGCTGACTCTGGACTCACTATGTAACCCAGACAGGTCTTGAATTCACAGCAATCCTTCTGTACCAGTCTCCTGGGTGCTGGGATCACAGGCACACACTAACACACCCAGCCTAGGACAAGTACTCTTCAAAAAAAACTTAGTACCAGGATGTAGCTCAGAAGCATAAACAAACTTGCCTGGCAAGTGCAAGGTCCTGAGTTCAATTCCAGGTACAAAAAAAAGAAAAGAAAAAGAAACTTAAAGCCAGGCATGGTAGCACACACTTAGAATTGCAGCACTTGGAAGACTGAGCCAAGAGGATCACTGCAAGTTTGAGGCCAGCCTGGGATACACAGTGAATTCAAGTTCAGCCTGAATTACCTAGAGACACCCCAACTCAAACTACCACCACTTTCCCTCAGGAAAAAACAAACAAACAGACTTAGAACAGCTTATCTGTTGAGTTCTAATGAGGACTGCCCCTGTTTAAATCCAGGTACCCATATTTCTTTACTGTGTGAATCTGGACAAATTACTCAGCCTCTGCAGAATTCCATCTATTCGACAGAAATGGTGTACGACAGTGATAGTGCAGTATCTATGGGCAGGGACACTGGGAGAGTTACCAGAGGCATACAGGCAAAACAAAACAAACCAGCGTAATGCGTGCTATCTGGTAAGAAGACTGCTGTTATCGGAAACTGGCACCCTGGGGCCGAGGCTCAGTGACAGATGCTCCTCTAGTATGCATGAGACCCCAGGTTCCAGCCCCAGCACAGGGGAAAATACAGCCAGCTCCTTGCCTAGCAGAGCCTGCTGCATACCCTGGGCTCCCAGCACCCACCTGTAGAAGTGGAGCATGAAACCTGTGATAAGCATGCCGCCAGGGACCTGGAAGGACATCCGCCCGATGACATTCATCTTCTCCCCAGTGTCGGGGTGGAAGGCTGAGTCATACAGCTTCTTAGCATACAGAAGCTGCTCCATGTGGGTGCCTGGAGGCACGGTCCCCATTCTATCAGAGGAAGGCAACAGGCAGGTGTCTCCCAGTCTTTTCCTTTGCTGAGTTCCTTCACTTTCAGTTCCTGTTTTCACCTAGCAGATCCCCTCAAAGACACCTAATGCCTCTGTGCTCTCCCTTGACCTCTTCCCCTTACCTGCTCCTCTCCACCATTGCCTTGGCCCAGTCCAGCTCATGCTCTGGTACCAAGATGGTGCGGGGGTCTGTGATGTTAAAGAAGTGCTTCACACGCCCCAGGAAAGTGCCCTGGTCCCAACGGGGGGCATCAATGTCAAAGCCAGACGTGTTAATCTCCATCTTGCTGGCACACAAGACTGCAGATCTAGAAGACACAGGAAGAATGAGGACACCCCCAAACTGAAGCCACCCCAGAGGCCCATTGTACTGCCTACCTTACCTAGCCCCTGGGTGTCTGCTGACTCAGTGCACTGAACAGGCACTGGACTAAGTAAGAAGGCACCTGCAGACACTCTGGGCACCTGCTGGAGGCCAGCCTTGTGCCAGTTCACGCTGTGGGAGTGACTGGAGAAAGGGACAGGGTGGTACCCGTCCTTGGAGGCCCGGAGTCAGCCTAGGAACACTGTACCCAGGGCTTGCGGCAGAGAGAGGGAGAACCTGCCACTCTGAAGTCCACCTAGCTGAAGTTCTCCACAAGGCTACCTAGTCACCAGGGCGGTAACCCTAGCCCCTTCTAGCCTTCCTGCCTCCCTGAGGGGAGCAGAGACTGAGCACTGAGAAGAGGAGGGCCCGGCTCACTGAAGAGCAAGCACCTTCCCTGCTGGCCAGGGCCCCTCCTCAGCAGGACTCCAGGGCAGCAAAAGATCACCTCAGCTGGACTGTGACCTGGTGCTTAATGTACTGAGTTGCTAGAGGATGGGGTGTAGCTCAATGATCCCAGCACCGGGAGAGAAAAAAAAGAGAAGTCTCGGGGCTGGGGATTTAGCTCAGTGGCATAAGCGCCTGTCTTGCAAGGAGGCAGTCGTGAGTTCGATCCCTGGTACCGATAAAAACGGAAAAAGACAAAAAAAAAAAAAAAAAAAAGAGAAGTCTCCAAAAACCAAAAGACAACAGGGAAGGCAGAAACAAGGATGTCAGGGAAATTTTAGCTGGGACACCTACAGCTACAGCAGACGGTAGTACATGACACACCTAGCAAGACAAACTGAAACTGCCCACTAAAGGCCTGTCTAGCTCAGCTCTTACCAGCGATCTCAGGCCCCATTGCAAGCAAAAGCAGCAAGACATAGAAAGGCAGAAAGCACAGGTTGTGGCCAAAGAAAGATGCCTCTGACCCAGACCTCTGTACCTAGTGAAACCATCCTTCAGAACTGCAGAAAGGGACTCTGTGGCACAACAAAACTGAGGGAATCTGTCATCAGCAGGCTTAATCTACAAAACAAGAATAGAAGCTCTTCAAAGAGAAAATTACATGGTATAGGATATAAACGGATACCTGCATGGAAAAAGACTTCATGTCAAAAACGCAACAATGAGGATAAAATCTTTTTCTTTTTTGGTACCAGGAATTGAACTCAGGACCTCATGCTTGCTAGGCAGGCATTTGTGCCACTGAGCTAAATCCCCAGCTAAAAGCTTTTTCTTATTTTGAATTTTTAACAGTTAATAAACACAGTTTGCTTAAAGTATTAATCACAAGTGTTCGGTGAGACAAATGACAGCAATGACATAAAGAAGTACGAATCGGGAACTCACTGATATAAGGGACCCTGCCACCTGTGACGGGGATAGCGCTCATTTCATAGTGGACTTGGCTTAGCTGAAGAACTGCAGGGCAACACAGAAAACATTTGCAAAGGAAGTATAACTGATATGCTGATACATTAAATGAGGAGAAAAAATAGGTCACACATCTTTTAAAAAGCTGAAAAATTTTTTCCCTGAAAATTTCGGGAAGTCATTAAAGGAATACTATATAAAAAGAGAAAACATCAAAGTATAATTAGGAAAAACACCCCAGGCAATCAGGAGAGTAAACAGGCTGTAGCAGGACCTCATCAGATCCAGGGAAGTGAGCTGGAAGGGAACCCTAATAACAAAGAAAATGAGAGAAAGGAGTCAGACGACCTGAGATACACCCAGAGAGGCAGCTAAAAAGAGAAAGCCTTTTCCCTCTGGGTCAACCCCAGAAAAGAAAGCAATCCCAGCCCAGAGTTGCTTGGAACCTGCAACACTGAGTCTGCCCTCTCCCTCTGCCAGGTACTGAGGCAGGCACCTGTAATTCTAGCACTCTGGGAAGACAAGGCAGAAGGATTACAAGTTTGAGACCATCCTGGGCAAACTAGTAAGACCATGTCTCAAAATGCAAAAATAAGGCCAGATGTGGTGGTGTACTCTGTAATCCTAGCACTCAGGAGGCTGAGGCAGGAGGATTGTTGCACGTTCAAGACCAGCCTGGGCTACAAAGAGAGCCCATGGCCAGCCTGAACCACACAGTGAGATCCTGTCTCAAAAAGACAACAAAATAAATAAGTAAATAAAACAAAAAATAAAAGTCTTCAAGAGTCCCCTCTGATTAACAAATGTTACACATAAAAATTTCCTTTTTGATTAAAGCTAAGCAATTAGTGACTTTTGATTACATCTGTAAAACCTTCACAGCGGCACCTATTTATTTATTTCTGTCTTTTTGAGACAGGGTTTCACTATGCAATTAAGGCTGGCCTCAAACTCACAGTGATCCTCCTGCCTCAGCCTTCCAAATGCAGGGATTATAGGCATGTACCACCACACCCAAACTAGTACCTACCAGTTCTTTGACTGAAGAACTGGAGGGCCTTCATAGGCCAGGATAACGAAGCTATCCTGGGAGTCTTACTCAGTCTAGCCAAGATGAACACATATTAGAGTATTTTTTTTTTCTGCCGAACTTCAATCTGTATTTTTTTATTTTGAAAGTAGTAAAAATGCAACACAAGACAAAGCAAAGCCAATCAAGACAATGCAGTGAAATTGCTACAGGGTTTCACAGTAGGATATTGGTATAGTAGTAATTGGTACTATGGTATATCTCCTTGAAAGAGAGTATTTAAAGAGATGTCAGGGTCGAGGATGTAGCTCAGCAGCACAGCAACTGTCTGGCAAGTGTGAGGCTCTGAGTTTTGATTCCTGGTACCAAAAAAACAAACGAATGAACAAAACAAACAACAAATAAACAAAGAGACACCAGATGAGGGAAAAGAGAAAAGAAAACAATATATCTATATATACACAATCAAAAGATACCTAGGATAATTATACTACTAACATCTGTTAATTCATTGAAAACAAGTTTGTGTCTATATTGTTTGAACAATTTTTCATGCCTGTATCTCGTAATCTGAGTTAACTACTTTGAAGATAATAACGCAATATATTAATCCATTGTTAATCTGCTACTATCTTATTTTGAAATTCTGTATCATTGTTTTTCCTCTTTAAAATAAAAAAAAAAAAGCAAACAAACAAAAAAAGACACCAGGATTGCATAAGGCGGTGAGACAGAATTTAAAAGACAAGCTTTGGGCTGAGGTTGTAGGTAACCAGCAGAGCACAAGGCCCTAGGTTGGAATCCTAGCACTGCCAAACACAGGTTTTAGAAGAGGACACAATGAATTTCATTTTCCATGCACTGAGTTTCAAGTACCAGGGCTGTTGTTACTGTGGTACTGGGCATTGAACCCAGGGCGTGCCAAGACTGTGCTACTTTCCCAGCTCTTTTTATTTTTTATTTTGAGACAGGGTCTCACTAAGTTTCCCAGGCTGGGTTTGAACTTGAGACCCTCCTGCACCAGCCTCCCCAAGTAGCTGAGATTACAGGCATTGTACCACTGCACCTGGTGCATGGGACCTTCTTAAATGCAATAGGTTACCTCCTGTCTCAGGTCTTTACAAATGCTATTCCCTCTCCTTTTCACTAAATAATTTCACTCAAAATAAATAAATAAATAAATGTCTACTCATCTTTTTTTTTTTTTAAGGAATAAATTTCACATTTGCTTCTATACCATCTATATACTAGATCATTTATGGTTTTCTGTTTGTTTGTTTCTAAAACAGGATCTCACTTTGTAGTTCATGATGGCCCTGAAATTACTATGTAGCCCAAGCTGGCCTGGAACTCAAGAGCACCCTCCTGCTTCAGGCTCCCAAGTGCTGATATTACAGGCGTCTGCCAAGCAATTTGTCTTTTTGCCAGAAAGTGCATTCGTTTTGCTTACCAGTGTCACCTTGCTGCCTAGCAGACCCTCAGTTATGGCTGCACAAGAGGTCCAGTCTGTGGATCTGCAGGTTCAGGTTACCCTTCCTACATGGTGAGTCTGAGTTCAGGTAAAAAGCACTGCCTGCTTCCTCTTCCTTCGGTGTTGAAGAAGTCTCAGCTCTACCCGTGGGCTTCAATTCTCACTTCTAATCCTTGCTGGTCCCGGGGATCATTTCTCTCATCCTCAGTTGCTACATTCCAGCATCTGGACACCAAACCTTGGAGAGGCTGTTCTCTGCCGTCCACCACTCTGTACAGAGGTCCAGTTTTATGGCAGTGAGTGCTCAGACTTGAAAGGAAGCACAGAGGCCTGGGCTAGGTGTAAAAAGCTTATCAACAGCCTCAAAGTAGTTTCAGCGAGAGACTGCGAGGGAAAGTAGATTGAAAAAGGAAGGAAATGCAGACAGAACCTGAAAAACCAAAACATTTAAAAAGCAAAGCAAGAAAAGGAGTCCCCAAAGATGGGAAAGAACCCCAGAAAGACAAGAGGCAGGAGGAACGAGAGGGGGAAAGGAGAGCTGCAGTCAACATCCAGATGTTCTGGCATGGGGAAGGGGGCTGGTGGGCTGGGTCAGCCATCTCTGAGAGCAATGACCCTGGAGCGGAGCCACAACACCCTTCCCTGCTCCCCCATTCTCCTCCCCACACTCCACATCAAGTGTGGGGTGGGACACAGCCGAGCAACACACATCCGACACCAAAACTCTGCCTGCCACCTCCTCGATCCCCCTGACCTCCTATAGAAGGCATCTCTCCTGGTCCCAACAGCAGAATGCGACAAGGAAAGGGTTCACCTGCAGAAGGGAAGTGAGCAGGTCGCAGTCTGTCTGTGCCTACACAGTGCCAGGCTCACGCCCTGGAGAGAACCCAACTGAGCAAAATGCCAGCCCCACCCTCTGGACACACACGCTCGCCTCTCACAATGGAAGCACTTTCACAGTGATGGAGCAAGCATCTGCTAAATTACACAAGAACCTCTGCCTTTTTTTGGTTTTTTGAAACAAGGTCTCACTATGTAGTTAAGGCTGGCCTTGAGCACACTGTGTATCCACAGCTGGCCTCAAACTCACTGCGATCCTCCAGCCTCAGCCTCCCAAGTGCTGACTGGGATAACAGCTATATACCATCAAGCCTTGCCACCTCTGCCTTCTTAGCTGAGGTCAGGATAGAAACTGTGCAGCCACTGTGTTACATAAACCGCAAGTCCCCCCAGATCTAAATTATTTCTCTGGAACATTTCCTCCTACACCCACCGTCTCCTAGAGGACACAGTACCTTAACTCCTTCTGCTGTATTCTCCCACAGTGGTCTCTCCTTTTTGCAGTATGCTGGACTCTGCTGTCACCTCCTTCTCACTTACAGTTCTTTGTATAAAGTCTGCTTCCCCTGACATGTCTGTAATGTCCACTGCTGCATCTCCCATGTGCCCAGTAATGAAATTTACTCCCTACCTGAAATGAGTTCCAACTTATTCTTGGGTTCTCTTGGCCTCAAGATTGCCGCCTCTTTGAAACCAAACTCAACCTTATCTTGGCTACAAAAGAGCAAGCTCTCATGAAGTTGTGCCACCTCTGTTGGTCACATCTGGTCTCTTTGCCCGGTCCATTCACTCTCCATCCTTCTACACAAGTCACACGCAGTCCTCCCTACCAGCCTCACATCACATCCAGGGTGGCCACACTTCTGAAGGACTGTGGTTCCACTGCTAGGAATAAGGTAGGAGTAAAAGCCGAACAGGTGACTAACTGGTGCCTCCTTTCAAAGATTAGAGTGTCACTGCGTGACCAAAGACATGAGGGAGCCAAAATCTCAGGGCACTGGAGCCTGACAAGGTTTCACTCAGTAATCACACCACATGGTGACATTCTGGGGCCACATGACCTGCACCAAGCACTTGCAGCAGATCAAAAAGTGAGCAAACAAACTCAGTCCTCAAAGTCCAACAGTAACCACCCACACTGGCCCTCCCCCACCTCAGCCCATTTGTTTTTTCCTCTAAAAAAAAAAAAAAAAAGAAGAAGAAGGAGAAGAAGAAGCCAAGCGTGGTGGCACTCTTCTGAAATCCTAGCACTCAAGAAGCTGGGGCAAGAAGATCACTGTGAGTTTGAATTCAAAGTCAGGCTGGCTGCATAGTGAGTCCAAGGCCAGCCTGAACTGCACAGCGAGACCCTGACTCAAAAAAGAATGAGGCTGGAAAAGTAGCTCAGTGTAGAGTAGCCTGAGTTTGATGCTTAGTAACATCAAAAAGAAAACAAAGAAGAGGGAGCAAGAGAAAGAAGAAAATGAAACTATTACGTCCCCTGAAATAATACTCACCCTTCCCAGAGAGAACTGATTTTCTCTCGAAAACAGGATTAGAGCTCTGAAAACAGGCTTCCAAAGCCCCTCTTCTTAAAAGTTTTTCTATCAATACGTCATGATTACATTCATTACGGGGAGTTGGTACCTGTGCGTAACACATTTCAATTCTTTTCACACCCCTTCTCTTCTCTTTCCTCCCTGTATCTCTTGGCCCCCTTTCCTGTTTCCTATTATCTATCTTTTATTTTGCTCTTAGTCTATTTGTATTTCAGGTTTCTCATAGTATTTTCTTATAAGGAGGGAAAGTGCTCAAGATTTCCATTTGTGGCTCCAAATAGAGGGGAAGAAATCTTTGGTACACTGCTTGTACTCCCAGCACTCCAAGAGGCTGAGGCAGGAGGACAGAAAGTTCAAGCCCAGGCTGGACAACTTAGCAAGACCTTGTCTTTTTTAAAAAAAAAATCTTTATTTTAATTTTTTCCTTTTTGACAGTGTTTCACTGTGCAGCTCCGGCTGGCCTCGAACTTAGTGATCCTCCTGCCTCAGCCTCCTGAGTGCTGGGATTACAAATGTGTGCTACCTAAACAGGTAAGACCTTGTTTAGCACAGGCAATAAAAAGGCAACACAAAACATTACTGCTCAACAGGGAAATCAAGAAGGCAGCCCAACACAGGGCCAACTAAAGACCATTGAGAAAGAGAAGGATTTGCATCAAAGCTGCCAAGAGCAGGCTGGAGACACAGCGATTTTAGTCAGCTCCAGGTACGTGCTTGCGTCACCTGACCCCACAGCAGCCCTGAGGACAGACACCAAGCCACTAGAGATCATCCTGCCTGGCTTTTCCCACACAAGAGCAACTTTCTCCAGATGGGTGGATTACAGAGGCACGTGCTACCATTCACCTTGCACCTCCTCCTGCAGTCAGCTTCTCAGCTGTTTTCTCATGAAGGATCAGTTTTTAGGAAATTCTTGGTGGTTTTTTGTTTTTGTTTTTGTCTTTTTCCTTTTTTATCGGTACCAGGGATCGAACACACGACTGCCTGCTTGCAAGGCAGGCGCTTATGCTGCTGAGCTAAATCCCCAGCCCCAGGAAATTCTTGGTTTACAACGCAGAGACTGAAAGGGTTTTTGGCCCAGGCCGGATACTATAGCCGGTAAAGCCAAGGAACTCCTATCTCCCCCCACCCTTAGGAATTACCTCTGGCGCCAAACTAAGACCAATGGGCTATCTGTGCATCCCTAATGCCTCCTTAGGTTTCACCCCAAGCCGAGGCTACTTATGTGCCTCACTCCACGTGTTCCACGGAAATATCACCGGCCTCGGGGTGGAGATGCCATGCCCCAGAGGGTCGGGGGTGTCTCTCCCCGCATTCCCAAAATAAAGGTTATTTATATTTCATTCTTATCTTTTCAGCCGCCGCCGGTCCTCCTCCTTCCCCCCACAGTTCTATCAGAGACTATCACTCCGTTTCTCACATCCAGTATTTAGAAGCAACCACTGCACAAGTCCTAACTCTGCGGCTCACAACAAGTAGTTTCTAGGGCTGTGAAAGTAAAATGACAGCCTAGGAGGGAAAGCGTTTCTCTACGCAGGCCGTGACCAAGAGGGTGGACTGTAGCTTCACAGCAAGGCTGTCCAGGCGGTGCTGGGCCTGTGTACCTGCAGGACTTTACGCCGCCTCCCGCTCCGACAGCAGCTTCCCCTTCCCGGCTCAAAGCTAGGCGCCGCTGCCTCAGCCTCTCACGGCGCTCCTGGCAGGACGGATCCCTGACCTCGACTCAAGCCAGCTGTCGAGGCCCGGGCGCCGAGGAGCACGGTCCGCCCTCTGGCCCCGGGTCCTCAGGCCCTGCTCGGCTCCCTCAGGTGGATGCTGCAGGCCCCGCTGGGCTGGCCCCACACCAGGGAAGTCCAGCCCCCTGCAGGGAGCAGGAATTAGAGAGCAACGCGGCGGGTGGCCCCTTACCTGGCCACAGAAGGGACGCCCTGAGACAGCAGTCACCAAGATCAGCGCACGCTGGAAGGCCGGCCCGATCCCGCCCCGCGCCCTCCGACAGCCTCCTAGCAGGCCAGTCATCAGACGCGAGGCTCCCGCGGCTCTGCGGCCGGGCCCAGCCCCCGCGGCGTTGAGCGCACGCCTGCGCAGTGGGCGGGAACTGCAGTGCGCTTGCGCACCTCGGGAAGCACGGGGCGGGAGCCTCACACAGCGGCTTTGCGCCTCCGCGGTACGCGCGGGGGACGTCAGGGGCGGTGCCGCAGCAGTTGCCCCTGGTAACTGGGGAGGCAGCAAGAGGAGGCGGAGGAGGAGGAGGAGGCGGAGGAGGGATTCGCCGGGAGGATGGTGAGTGTGGGGTGCCCCGGGCCCTTCTGGATCCTTATGGTCACCCCCTTCCTGTGGGGCCCTGCGCTCAAAAAGCTGAGAGCGGAAAGGATGGCGCTCAGCCTGCTACCGGGATTCCGGCTGGGCGGCGGGGGGCACAGAGGGTGGGCCCTAGGGAGGCCCGGGCCGGGAAGAGGGCGGGGCTTGCGGGGGTCCAGGCCGGGCGGGCGCTGGTGTGCAGTAGGCGCAGGCTCCTAGCTGTTGTGGACAGGGCTTGAGGCTGAGGCCGAGGCTTGGTCGCATGAGAGCGAAGAGTGGGCTCCACACGCGGGCTGGCGCTGCCTCTGAGGCGCGGTGTGCGCCCGCTGGTCGAGGTCGCCCTGGCGGTCCCGGGATGTGTGGGCTCCGGGTGCGGAGGGAAGGGGCAGGTCCAGAGGTTCCCCTCGTGTGTGCGCGACGCGCGTGCATCTGCAGTCCCCAATTATTTGCCGAGAGTCCTCTGCGACCTGGTTGTAGATGCTGACCACTTCTTCCTTACATACTTAATCCGTGTCGATTAAGATGAATTAGACGCTTAGTCGCTACTATTTTTTTCACAGTCTATTGCAAACCCCTGTGCAAGTGATCACACCAGGACCAAAGGTCTTAATTCCAGCTCGAGGTCTCCAAATTAAAAGGAATAGGGAGTTAGAACTGGAAAGTGGACATTAGTTTGGAGCAAGTTTTTATTCTCCGTCAGCCACAAAGTTTACCCAAATTATAAAACAGACTTGAAGGCTGACATTCGATTCTATGTTTTTTTGGACAGTTAGGAAGAAGTAGTAAAATGAAACTGAGAAATTTTGGAGCTGGTCAAGGAAAAAGATTTGAAAGCAGTTAGAGCAGGTTGGTTGGTTTAACAACTGCTAAGAGCGAGTTACAGTTACTTTGACATCCTACCTCTTGGTCCCTTTTTGACACTTAAAAATGTTGAACCACTTCTGTTGATTCATGAAGTAAGAAAAAAATCTTGATGTCCAGGAGGAAAAAATACATTACCTTTGGTCGGATATCCAGTCAGTAAATTTTGATCAGCAAACTTTTCAATTGATTTTACATTGTTAGATTGCTAAAGAAGTGTAATTATTTGATCTGAATTTCACATTTGCTACATCTCCAGTTTTTTTAACCTCAGGCTAAACAGATTTGAGAGGGAGGACAAAGTCTTGCAGGCTGGCCTTGAACTTGCTGTGTAACCCAGGCTGCCCTTGAGCTCTCAGTGATCTTTCTGCCTCAGGCTCTTCTGCGTGCCGGGATCGCAGGTGTGTGCCACCACACCTGGTTTAAGCAGATTTTTACAAGTTTTTCTTTTTTCTTAATCATTTATACCTGAGCCGTCCATTTAAAGGCTAAGTTTATCTCTACAAGTACAAACATAAATAAAACATAGAGAATTAGCTAGAATTGACATGAAAAAGGCATGTCAAACCCAGAGAGAATGAGCTGTTCTTAGAGATGGAAGTGGAACACTGAATTTAAAGAGTAGTGTATTAAGTGTGTCACATCTAGTATCCTCAAACTTGCAGCGATCCTCCTGTCTCAGCGTCGTGAGTGCTGTGGTTACGGGTATGCACTACCCATACCCAGCAAGAAAATTTTTTAATTTAAAAATACAGAACTACTGCTGGGAGTGGTGACACATGCACCTAGTCCCAGCACTCCATAGGCTGAGGCAGAAGGTAGATCACTAAGTTTAAGGCCAGACTGAACTAAATAGCCAGACCTTGTCCCAAAAATCTAAAAGAGAGAGAGAGCCAGAGAGAAAACAAACACAGCTAGTCTTTTGAGTGGCTACTATGTACCATTCTGAGCAGACACCTCAAGAAACATCATAGTAATGTAGTAGATAGATGATCAGCCAGAAGTGGAAGTTTGGCCTATAGTCTCCCTTTCAAAACTTTGAAGGGAGTAAAATGTTTAAACAAGCCAAAGATGGTGGCCTATGCCTGTAAACCTAGAATTTGGGAGGCTGAGCCAGGAGGATCACTGTGAGTTAAAAGTGAATTCAAGGTCAGTCTGGACCACATAGTAAGACCCCCCCCCCAAATAAATAAAAACATATAATTGGGAAAAAGAAAGTAAAATCAATTTCATTTAAACTAGTTAATGGAGTGTCTGTTTCTGACAGTTGGCTCAGAAGTACAGTTTTTTTGTTGTTGTTGTTTTTGTTTTTTGTCTTTTTTGAGTCAGGATCTCACTGTGTTATTCAGGCTGGAGCTTACTTTGTAACCCAGGCTAGTCTTGAACTTGCAAGGATCCTCTTGCCTTATCCTCCCGAGTACTGAGATTTATGTCACCACGCCTGCCCTGCTGGCTGGTCTCTGAATGACCTGGTATATGCTGTTTTAGGTCAACATGCCTGGAGTGTAGTTGGGGCTAATTTTGACACAGATAAAACATCTGTAGTTAACAGCATTATCTTTTCAGGATTTGCTGGTGGAAATTTGTTCAAATGTCTGTGGCTCAGTCAGACCCTCCGACGTCCAGGGTGTCTGTAACTTTGTACACACACGCTGCTCTCCCTGACCTGCAGTTTACCATGGCTCTTGTTTCTTACTGTCTTCATTCAGCGTCCTGAGTGTGAATCCCATGTGGAACTCGTTTGTTTTGCTCTCTGTTGTGCTTGGAACCTATGAGGAGCGTCTATGATAATTGAATGTGTGCTTATTTGGACCAAAGCACACTTCAAAAGTGAATTTCAAAAAAACTAGTTTCATTACATTTATGCTATAAAACTCAGCCGCACAGTAAGTTTGTTTCCCTTCCCTGGATAGCAAGGCATGGCAGTGTCGTCGACTCAGTCTGGTCTCTTTCATCCATCCTCCTAAATCAGCTTACTGAAACCAACAGAGCCCTGGCCTCTAAAAATATCCTCTTTGCTATTTAGCACACCCTGATAATCCTATGACTCCCCTCCTGGTGGCTGACTGGTCTGATGCTGTATGGCAGTCATACTGGTCTTCTCTAGACCTTGCTGGAGATGCCCTTTGTCATTTTGCTGGGAGAGAATATTAGCTGACCTTCCTGTGTCTATGTAATTCCACTTAAAGGTGAAGTGTCTGCCATTACTGTTTTCTAATGGGAAGGTTAAAAATACAGAAGGAGTCCATTCTATACTGTGGCATTCAGTTAATAAAGTTTATCTGTAGTTGGAATGATTTCTTTCTCATCAGTGCTTCACTTTTTCTTTTAAAATGAATAGAAAGGGGCTGGGGATTTAGCTCAGTAGCATAAGCACCTGCCTTACATGTGCGCAGTCATGAGTTCGATCCCTGGTACCAAAAATAAATAAAATAAAATGAATAGAAATTGCTTTTCTCATAATTATTCAATTTAAAATACAGTAAATGTATAAAAACTCAGCTTGAAGACAACAGTATTTTTATTTAGTGATTTTTCTTTTCTTTTTTTGTACTGAGGATTAAACTACATGTCTACCCCATTCTGATTTTTTTTTTAAATTTTGAGACCAGGTCTCACTAAATTGCTGAACTGTTCAAGCTGAGTTGAAATTTGGAAATGCTCCTGCTTCACCTCCCAGAATGGGATTATAGGAGTGCGCCACCACATCTGGCTCTGATTTAGTGATTGTTTTGTTTTGTTTTGAGACGTGGTCATGCTGTGTAGTCCAGGCCGTCCTTGCACTCACTATGTAACCCAGGATAGCCTCAAACTTGTGGTGGTGATTTTTCTGCAGCCTCCTGAGGGCTGAGATTACAGGTATGTATCACTACACCCAGTTTAATTTAGTAATTTTTAAAAAGAAAAGACATGAAAAACCAAAATCATTAATTTTAAACTGAAAATATAGGAGCTAAGTGTGGTGGTACACACCCGTGGTCCCGACACTTGGGAGGCTGAGGCAGGGGGATTGTAATGAGTTCAAGGCCAGCCTAAACTACGTAGTGAGACCCTGTCTCAATCAATCAGTCAATAAGTGAAAATGTATTATTGGTAACAGATCTTCCTTATCACTGTATTAGTACTTGATAACCCATGACAATTTTACCTGTATGTCATTTAATATATTAATTTTATAAATTCCTGTTGTTTTAGAATTTATTATCAGGAGATCTTTCCTGTTAATGTGCAATCAGGAATTTAGCATGACTAGCACAATGTGTGGTCTTAGTCCTTTTTATATCACCAGTCTGAAGGTATCAGAATAGGTGATTGCAATACAGGTAATAGAAATCCGGGAGGCTTCTTATAAGTGTAATTTTAGGAGGGAATGTGTCAAAGTATTTAAGGCCAGATGCAATGAAATCCAAAACAAAAATATATTTTCCCTTTTTAAAAAAATGTGTGCAATAGCAGCACATGCCTGTAATCCCATCTATACTTGACTGAAGCAGAAGGATCACGCATTTGAGACCAGTCTCAGAAAGTTATTAAAACTCTGTCTCACAATAAAAAATAAGGAAGGGCTGGAGGCCAGGCATGGTGGTACATGCCTGTAATCCCAGGCTGGGCCTCAAACAGTGAGTTTGAGGCCACCCTGAACTACATAGTTCAAGGCCAGCCTGAATTACAAGTGAGACCCTGTCTCAAAAAGAGTGGGGGGCCGGGGGCAGGGCTGTAGCTCATTTGTAGAGCATTTACCTAGCAGGCTTGATGCCCAGCATCAAATCAAAAACGTTCCTTCCCTGTCTCAAATCTGTCTCTTAAATTGTTTGTTTGTTTGGTTGGTTCCTAGTTTGTTTGTTTTTTTTTTCCTGACAGGGTCTCACTGTGTAATT